CTGGTATGATCCTGTTTCCTACCCCCACATGGATGTCGGTACCCAGTGGCTATGTTTTGGATTGTAGTTGACTTATTGAAGTTATGATCCTCATCTTACCCCTGCGTGGATGTTGGTTCCTGGTGGCATGGGTTTTGGATGTATTTAACTTGCTGTGTATGGTTTGTCATGCCATAGCCACTCTACACCTAGGGAAACATCCTTATTTTACCCACTCTTCTACTTTCTGGGGTTGAGTTTCATTTATTTTGCATGGTTTGGATCATTTTCCAGCCTGAGTTCTCTCCCTCTTGGATGTGCTCCTCTGTTTTCTGCCCATATCTGTGACCTCTCCTACGATGGGCAAAGAGTATGCCTTGTTCAGATGTGGTGTGATTCCCCTCATCAGGTCTTCTAATCTGATTCCCTCATCTTTGGGAGTGTTCTTTGGATGCTTCTTTATTTCCCTTGCACCAGTTCATTCTCCTATTCATTGTGGGATTCTAGCTATTTATGTGACCGGAGGTAATGTACCCTATTGGAAGTTATAATTTTCCTTCACTGAAAACGTATTTCTGATAAGTACTTACCTATTCTCACACTTTCCACTCTTTATCCCCATGGTACATTGATGCTTCCAACTTTTGCCAAAACTCGAAGTGATAGTTTGGTAGAGTGAAATAGAGGGAGTGACATGCGTTATAAGAGTATTGGTGGAGGGTTGATGCATGATGATTTACATGAGTGATGCATTGAAATCAGCTAAATCCAATGGAGGGGAGATAGAAGATGTGTAAAAAGTTTTAAGGGCAGCACTGAACAAGAACAGCTATTTATGTGAGAAGAGGAAATTACCTATTGGTAATACATTTTCAGTGTAGGAAAATTATAACTTCCAAACTACATCAAGAAATACCTAAGAGTTTAATGTAATTAATAAATTTTACTAATTAATTCCCTATAATGCCATTAGTGTAAATAAGAAAAAGCAAAGTTCCAAGCACTGAATCTTGAGCCACACTAATAGTAAGAAAGGTCTAGTGTTACTGGACTCTATTAATAACAACTTTTTGCTCTTTTCACCCAGTCACCAATTAAAGCAATTGTTTAGTCTTTCCTTAACCCCAACAGGGTAGTTTTAATTTATGTAAACCTTTATGTGGCACCTTATCAAAAGTCTTTCAAACATCTAAGTACACCAAGTTTATAGAACTGTATCCATCATACAAATAATAACATTCTCCAAAAATTCAGATATTAGTAAGGTAAGATTTACATTTTATTAAATCCATGTTGGCCCTATTATGTGGTGTAGTAAATGATCTTGCCAAGCTTCTTTTATTAGGTCCTCTAGAACATGGGTGGTCAATAATGTTCACAGGGGGGCCACTCCATGAACTTTGGTAAGTTGTCGTGGGCCGCACATTTCTACTATATCAATTAAATTACCTTAACATTGATTGTATGTTCTTTTCACAATCACCAGGAGTCGTGGCAGACAGGACAGAAATGTTAAGTGAGCTGGATCTGGCCTGTGGGCTGTATTTTGCCCACCCTTCCTCTAGAATCTTTCTTACTAAAGAGCAAGGCTAACCTACAATTTCAAAAGAAACCTCTATCCACCATTTCTAAAAATAGGAATAATATTGTTAAGCACTAGCAACTCTACAGTGCCAACCATCTGTATACTGTATATTTACCACCAAAAATTAAAGAAAAAAAGCTTGCACTTCTCATCTTCGACTTTAAAACAGTGGAAATAAATATGCTTATTTTAATACGCATATATTGCCTTGGATATTTGTGTTACCTAACCTTATGTTGTTTGTACATTTTAGGCAACAACTTTCTACAAATTAACTATCATGTCTAGATTTGGATGAGAGCATCTCACCTTGAGGGCAAAACTATCATTAAATTTAAAAAAATGTAGAAAATAAACCCTTAGTCATTCCTCCACATGTTCAGAAAAAAAACAACAACAACAACTTCAGAATAAAATGCTATTCAGTTAACAAATTTATTTAATTTTATACATGAAAATAAAATACAAATCACAAATTTTCATCTTGGGTTGAATGAAAGCATTTGTGTTTGCGAATTTCCTGAATTTTTTCTGAGCATAATACAAAATATGTAAACTGTAGGAGGAAAGTTATAACAGAGCTGAATTTACCTTGTAACTTCCATATAAAACTCTAGTTTTACCAGGTTTTTGCAAGTCGCTGTTTATCAACTTTCAGCTTTGAGAAGTAATAGGCTAGTGACCTAACACTTTTTTACTTTATAACAGAACATGGCTTCCAGCTCAGCAGAAATTTGCATAAAATATAAGAGCAAAATTATAAGAGCTTAGCTTGATGATATGTTTCTACAAAAAAAGTCTTTGACAAAAGTTCATTACAATATTACAGTACTGATTATTTCTGAACTTTTGCTTTGTCATTTTAAACACCTTTTGAACTATGATGTTGCAGTATGATGGGAAAATAAATATTTTTATGGAACAAGATGACTGGGCACTAGATGATAGCTCATATCAAATGTCACTTTGATGATGAGGCTGCTGTGCTAGTTATTATTGGTATAAGTAACTACTTGAGTAATTCAAAGGAAAGCACCAAAATACTGTAAAAAAATGATTTATATATATATGTATATAGGAATATAAAATTGGTTATTTCTCTTCCTTATAATTTTGATATGGTAAAAAAGTTATTTTTAATGTATGCCAGTGATCATAAACATGGTCATACTGTAAAGAATAAATTTGCAGTTTTATAAAACAAAAACATAATATAAGAATAAATAAAAATTAATAATTAAAATCTGTGAAAAAGATAAGCATTTTAATGAAAAAATGTTAGAAATTTCAAAGTTATTAAACTCCTTTAAAGTGCTGGCCTCCACTGCTGTTAACGACATCATGCTTTATCAGTCAGTGACTTTGTTAGAAAAATTGTCTTAACTGGAGCCTAGCTTATCTGTTTTCAAACCTTAAACTTGAGACTTCTCTTCCTATTATCTTCAGAATTTGTCATAAAGAAATCAGAGACTTTAGTTTTGATTAATTGGCTAGTTTGAAAGGACACGTTTAGCTTACTTCTCATTCCATTTATTCTGAAATTTCATGTCTGTTTTCAATTTATTGAGATGTGTACCATTAATGATACTTTGATTTTTTTAACTTTAGTTTCAAAAGTCTTTACATTTTTATCATGACTTCTCAAATGATGGTGATATACACTTAGTCCTGAGTGTTGAACATTGTTCACACTTAGACTTTATTTCTGTTGTGGATTTTGGAGACTCGTTAATCGTCAGAGTTCTTGCAGTTATTGTTCAACATGATGTGGATTATCATGTGCTTAATGGGCCTTGTCCTGTCTCGTCAGTCAAATTTCTATCTCCTCAGTTAAAAATAATCTTCTGAACTACAAGCTTCATCTGATTTGCTTTGGGTAGTACTTTATCATTCATAAAACAACCTTAACCTTTCCCTGTCTGGAATTCTCAGGTATGTTCATTTTCTCCTTTTTTGCCTTTTTTTTTTATTATATCTGATTTCTCATCCTATAATCCACAATTCGTGAATTTTTTTTATTGTATTGCTCCTTTTTCATACCCAAAAGCCTTGTCTTTCCCATGTTTATGACTACTATTTGGCCATGTTTGTTGACTTTTTTCCTTTTTTATTTTGCTTTCTAGTTCCTTATTTTTGCATTGTTTGTCTTCTTCTCTCTCTACCCTTCTGTATACCCCCTCATACTTCCATCTTGTATCTGAACCACTTCTTTGTTCTTCTAATGGCTTCTGTGGACATTCATTCCCATCTCTGTTTGGCCTGTTTCATTTCTTCTGCTTTATCCTTTGTGCTATTGGGACTTGTTGGGTTGTGCTTCATTCTTCTTTACTGAACATCTTCCTTCTTGTGTACATATTATTTGTCTGCTCTCTTTCTTTGCCCAGATGTGTTCAGTGGTTTTCTTTTTTCTATGTTGACCTGGCCAGATATTATATAATGTTTGTCCTTGTTATTATTGCTATTTCTCTTTTAGATCTGTCTCCTTTTCACCTTTCCATTCTGGATTCCAAACCATCCTCTTTTCCTTGTCTCCCTTCTACCAGAAGTCTCATTCATCACTTTTCTTGCCAATGACTATCACATATGTAAATTTTTTGGATGCCTTTCCCCTCTCCTGCTGTTGGTCTCAATTCCTAACAACAGGCATTTTCAATTTCTACACCCTAATCTCTTTCCTTACCCCTCTTCTCTTCACCTATCATCTCATTTCTTTTCTCCTACCTTATTATTATTGCTGTAATTCTCCTTAAATTCTATATGTGACTCTCTGTGAAGGTTCTTTTGACATGGGTCCTTCTTCCACTAATTTCCTCCTGGCAGTAATGTTTTGCACCACCTTTTGTCTTTCTTATCTGACTGTTTGTCAATAGATTCTCTATCTTAGCCTTTCCTAGTTGTTGGATCATCATGTAAATGGCCTTTCTACTTTCCTGGTACCAAGGGGTGTTCCTTCTTGTCTTTTCTTCTTCATTCCCTTCCAGTCTTCTTGCCCTGCTCCATTGCCTGATTGAAACCTTGTTGAGGTTTTACTCTATCTCATGTATACCTCATTTGAACTATTAACTTCTTGCCTTTTTTACCATTTTTCTCTCCTGACTTGTTTCCTCCTCCTTCTTCATTTCTGTTCTTACTGTGGTTTTGATGTCTGTCCTCGAGATGCTTCTTAAACCCTTTTCCCTCTCCTCGGATTTCTACTGCTCAGGGATAAACAGTACTTTTTTTTCTATATTTCCTTCCATCTCTCTTCTGTTGGATCATTTAGACACAGCTTGGCTCCTGTATCCTGTTGGACTGTTCAGTGTGCCTTATCTTGGACCTCTTACTTTAGGGATCCTTACCTTCTTCCCTTACCTGGGATCCTTCTTTTCCATGTACTTCCTTAACAGATTCCTTTGCACTGTCTCCATTGAAAGAACTTTCCGGACCAAAGGCACAATGGTAATCTGGGTACCTCTGGGTCTCCCCAGTGCAAATCTTCCCCACTTCATCCAGTGGAGTACAGGAAACCCTTGCAACTTATCAGGTCCTAACTGCTGGGGTGGTGGACCATAGAAAATCCTCTCTGATTGGGACCTAATTGTTGGAGCTAGAGCAAGGGGTGCAAATATAGTGAGAAGTGGGGCATTGGTGACATCATTTGTGTAATCCAGGTCACATATAACTCAGATACATCACTCAGAGCACACTTCTTCCTCCAGCAGCATGAGTCTGTGTAGTAGAATTGAGATGAGCACACAATGAATGACTGTGCCCTCCTTCTGCAGAAAGTCAATCCATAAAATCTGTTCAGTTGTGTAGAGGTGAGCATCCACTATACAAAACCAATCCATATCTGTATCTCATATGTGACCACACTCAGTACCAATACCTACTATAAATCAAATATGCTCTCTCCTGCAGCTGGTGTAAGTCTATAGGGTTTAACAGCAGAGTTAAGAGTGTACACAGATATTCATTATACATAACAATGTGCCTTCCTCCTGCAGGTGGAGTTGGTCTTATAGAGACTGACAGTAAAGTTGATGAGGTGAGCACTCCATAAACACCTGTGACGTATCAATAACATACCATTTTCTTGCAGCCGGTGTGGGACCCATAGAGATTGATGGTCAAGTTGAGGTATATAATTATCCATACTAAATACAATAAAGTGCCTTCCTCCCACAACTGAAGTCAGTCCTGCAGAATCTGATGGTATGGCTGAGGTGAACAAAGATACTTGTCACAAGTGCTTTGTTCCCACAGTTGTTTTTGACCTGTCAAGTTTGATGGTAGAGTTGAGGTGAGCACACAGGGTACAGTCTGAACATGCTCCAACCACACTACACATATTGGCTATCAGACGACTTGTGTACAAGTACTTGAACACCCGGGTACCAATTCTGCCCATCTCTGTAACAAAACTCTGGCTTCTCTGCCTCTTTCCTGTCTTATATGAGTGAAGAGTGTACACTAGAGAAGACGAGATGCAGTCTCCCCTGGGTGTGCCCCTATGGAGCTCCTGCCATCAGATGTTGCACTCCACGGGCCTCCTTCAGACATGTTTTGAAGGGAGCTCATCCAGGTAAATTTTGCATTGGTCCCTCCACCATCTCATCATGGGATTCGAGCTAAACTGTATGGGGAGGTGAATTACCTTTTCAGAAGTTAACATTTTCCTTACCTGAAAATGCATTTCCAATAGATACTTACCTACTCACCCATCCTCCCACTTCTGATACACACATTTCTTACTTGCCTTGTCATAGAATGAAGTTTCATGAGAACAAACAAATAGGGGGAAGTATTGTTCATGGAGGTGTGTCACCTCCAATTGATGGAGGGCTTTTGTTGCTTGATGACATCATCATGGAGTAATGAAATTCACCTAAGTTCACGGTAAATTAGGTTGGATTTATTCAAAGCTTGTGGCATGTAAATCTCTTTGGTAAACATGCTGAAGGGCTAAGGAAGATAGCTAAACTTTGTATGGAAATACATTTTCAGGTAAGGAAAATATTAACTTCTGTTAATCTATTCATTTGCATTATCAACAGTTGATGAGTTGTTTCAATATGTAAAAAAGTCATTGTAATGTAAATATTGAAAAGAAACTGATAGAAGTATAGATAATTTTTTATGAACAAAAAATCTGTAACTGCAGAAAATAATGTAGGAGGTAGCCTAAATAGAGAGGTTTAACTTGCTTAAAGTTTTGAACAGTTTGAGCTAACCTTAGAGATGGTCAATATATGGAAGCAAGTACTATTTAGAGAGACCAGTTAAAAAACTTTTTGCTGTCTATATGCTTTAATATCAAATATACAATGGAAAGTGAATAAGAGTTTTTAATTTGGTTTTTCTAGACACAGTCCTAAATCTTTAATAAAAAAACAAACATGGAAGAACTGCACAGAGCCCAGAAAGCATTAAAGGATATTGGCAAGCCTACCTGTTTTTTAAAAATAATAAAAAAAGATCTTCCAGCTGATATTCTCTATGAAGATGATTGTGTAAGTTTTTATCTATAAATTAATATTGTCTACTTCTGTAAATAATTGTTCATTTTGCAAGATCTTTTGCAAACTGGAATAATAAACTTATGAAACAATTGTCCTCTTGATATTTTATATTTATATAATAAATCATTATAATACGTTTTACATATCTGAATAATTTTGGCTGTGTGATGTTACAGTTTCTAGTAATTCTCACAGTTTTTAATAATGACTATATTCTTTAGAATTTTTTATGTGCAAAGTGATGAGACTTAAGGTGATCTTTTTAATTAAAATGCATCAAAGGTTTTGGAATGTTTATTCATGTACTGACAAACTATTTTTTGCATCTATGCATTTTTTTGTAAACTTAATAAGTTTCAACTAAAAATTATCTTTAAATGGTAGTGTTAAGTAAATAATAATATACAATTAAAGTAGGCTATGTACTTAGAATGAAGCTGGAAATCAACCTGGACATCAGTATGTGTAGCTATTTGAATTTTCTTAAGTTTATACTGATAAATATTAAAATGCATTGCTTCATCAGTTGAGTACCTTCACTGTAGTGATATTTTTAGCTGTAAGTCCAATAATATTTTGTGAGGTTTGACTAGCTTAAGGGATTTAGATTAATCCTCAATACAAATTCTAAGCTAATAATTCAAAACAATCTTTAGCACAAAATTATAATGACAAATGAAAGTAAAAAGTAATTACATTCGATTTACTAACTATTATAATCACTATTATTAATGAAAGTAACAATAAATAAAAAAAATAGACTACTTTACTTAAGGAACCCAAAAGCACTTTTTCTTACTTTAAATCATACTCAACAGTGTATGTTTGTTTGGAATTTTGCTCACACTTACACCTCATTTTACCAAAGGAAACTTCTTATGGCATCCCAACTATATAATGTCAGAGGCTATCCTAACTGTGACAGTTAAACCCACATGTTTATGTTTAAACTGTGTCATATTGGTAGCATCAACTTTCCCATGGCACATACAAAAACTAATATTTATGAAGATACAAAATAACAAATGAAAATTACCTAACATAGCCATTATAATGCAACAATGTTAAATGTAATTAGAAGAAAACATGCATCTGAACTTAATATGTAGTTAGTTAAAATCTTGTCACTGTTCTGACTTAACTATTCTCTTAAACAAATAGTTAAAGGTGGCTACAGAAAGTAATATTAGATTGTCTTTAAATGCTGAAATGGAAACATGACAAGCCCCTAGAAATATGAAGTTTTACAAAAATAATGCATTTGTAAGTACAAATACAAAAGGCATAATATGACAAAGCAAGCAAATATAAAAACTGTTATAACTAAACTAATAATGCAATTTCAGACTTAGCTAATATTAACTATATATAAAAGTTAAACTAATGGTTTGTAAAACTAGTGGTGGTCAATACATTAAAGATGTTTACTATTATATCTCAAACAAAAGCTCAAAAATTAAAGTGTAGATATGAAAGATCTATAAAGGTTGTGTACATTGTAAAACTTGTAAACATATAGTCATTAGCAAGAGTATTGTTGAATTTTCCACAGTATTGAATGAATTTTGTGCCTAATCCTTGGTTACGAAAACCTTGGTTATGAAAAATGCGAGTGAGTTTGGAAGCTTTATCCAGAACATCTTGTACTGATGAGCCAATTCTATTGTATCTAACAAGATAAATGTTGTAAACATTGTAACATAACTTGTTTGGAATATTCATATTTGGGAATGGAAGGCTCATAACTTCAAAGTTCAATGTGGAATTAATGACAGCGATATGTAAATCTAGATAGTTTGCTTTGTTTATAAAGGAAGAGCATTTTTCTAGAGTGAGCTCTAGTGGATGAATTTGTAAGGTTGTGTCTACAGAACTCTGATAAATTGGTAAAATAGGAACATTTACACATTCTTTGGGTGGAGATAAAAAAAAGTGTTAGATGCAAGTTTTTGAAACTCAAAATGTTCTACATTATATGTGATATTCTTTCAAGTACGAAATCAAAAACAGCCAGATGAATTCTGTTTGTGAAAGTTGATGATGTATACAATGATCAAATAATGACATAGGCAGTTGCAAAAAAACAGATTTAAATATCTGTCCATTATGTTGATTCTTTTGGGTTATTCTTAATATTGCATGGAGAAACAAATATTTACATTTTAGGATATAAGTTTGTGTTTTTCAATTTGTTTAAGAGCTATCAACACTGTAACTTGCATCCTACAGAAATATTCAGTGGCCTTAGAGCAACCCCTATGAACTTCACTTTTTCAAAACTAACAGAACCAGCTTTATGTTTGATGAAATTTTGGAGAGTCATTGAGACCAAGGTAATAGGCAACAAATAAAGGAAATTATAATGCTCTGAAAATACAATTTCCATTGAAGTAGAAATTTAAGAGAACTAGGTGGATCTTCATGCTTTGATAAACTCTTTATAACTTATTTCATCATCATTTTAGTCTTTACTTAGCAAAGGAAAAGGTCAGATTATAACATATAATGTTTTGGGACAACATTGGACCTATTGGTCCATCTTGGCTGTTCCATCCTCTAAATTAAAACTATTATTAAATAAAATTTAAAGCCAGTCCTTATCATTCATATGCATATACGTATCAAGCTTTCTTTTAAATTTACTGCTTCCACAACATCCAAAGGCAACTCATTCCAAAGGCCAACCACCTTGTTAGAAAAATAAAACTGTCTTAGCTGAACATGATTCCTATCCTGCCAAAATTGATATTTGTGTCCCCTAGTCTGTTAAGTATGAAAAGAGATGCTGCATCAACACTACCAATTCCCTTTACAATTTTAAACACCTCAATCAGATCCCCCCTAAATCTTCTTTTTCAAGAGAAAACAGTTTGAGAGATTTCAACCTCTCCTCGTATGAGAACCCCTTCATCCCAGGCACCATCATTGTAATCTTTTTCTGAACACTTTCCAACAATTCAATGTCTTTCTTAAAGTAAGGAGCCCAAGACTGAACACAATATTCCAAATTTGGCCTAACCAGTG